CGCTGCAAAGGGATTCTACACTTTGTAGCGTTAAAGTGGAGGAATGGATGAATGCAGGGGAGGAAAGCATGTCATTGCTAGGGGTCTGGCACGTGCTATCTATCCTTTAACACAAAAAAGCTCATCACCTGAAGCCCAGTACCCCCTTGTCCCAGTTTTCTGGTTTGCACATGGGTAAAGTAATTTCATGTTGATGGTATGGCACTAATCTGTTCCTTTTCCTTGTGATAGACAATGAAAAGCTCAGCAGTTTTCCAGTAAGAGGTAAATGTTTTCTTCTTTTCCAGTAGCATATTTCCATAATAGTCTCTAATGAAAAAAAAAAAAAAACATAGAGCCTGTGGTGGTCTTTCTATAGATGGAAGTATCTGAGATTTGCAAAAATATGTGAAGCAAAATGTAAGCTATGACTGCTAAAGGTCTGTGCAGGATTTGGGTGAATAATATGGTCAAAGGAAGAAAATGTTCCATTCGGAAAGTCTCAAAAGCCAAAACTGTCTTTCCTCATCAGGAAAAGTAGTTCTCCAAGTGAATGGTACTAATGATGTTTTCTGCTTCTTCCTACCACGGTAAAGCATCTGTGAAAAAATTAAGCTCAAGAGATTTTGGAATGACTCCTGAGGATAATTTAGGTACATTTTTTCTCTCTCTTTCCAGAAATAATCTATCTGTTTGAATTTTAAACTTCCAGCATTATTAATCTGATAATCTTAGCTATGATAACACACCATAATAGCAATGTTTGTATAGATGACAAGCCCTGGGTTTGCTTCAGTGCTTACACAGAAATGTATCGAGGGGATTATAACGCTGCCCCGTTACCTGTTTCAAAACAGTGCTGGGGACTCTAATAGCAGAAAACTCCCTGACCAGAAGCACAACCCAGGGACGTCCTGCCATGCTCAGGGGGCACACAGAGCTTGGTGCTGCCCTTCCCTCAGAGCTCCTATGGTGGGTGTCCCCTTCCACCAGAACACCCACCCCCACACCAGGGACAGGCAACTTTGCTGCACTGGCACCACCACTGACTGCCCACCCCGGTCCTCAGCACAAGGCTGGTGAGGGTCTGGGTGTCTAGAAGACAATCCAATCCCTTCTTGCAAACCCCTTTCTCACATTGTTCCTAGTAGTTTTTGTCCAGTTCCATCCTTTGGCTAGAAATATTTTCCAGGGATCAGTGTTTGTGTTCTGTGGACTTCATTGCTGCAGATAGTTTACTTAGGGAAAGGAAGACAGATGCAGTTAGAGATTTACAGATTTGATGTTTGAAAGACCCCTGTAAGGTATGTAATACAATGATGAATAAGATACAGATACTCTCTTTTCTTTTTCCAGCTGCTTCTAGACGAAGGAGTGGATCAGCTCCTGGTAAGTACTCTTCTCTTGGGTTTATTCAGAATAATTTTATAAGGTTCATATCACGCATAGGTTCATAGCAACATTACTTCAACAAATGTATGTTGATTGCAGATGCTCATTTGCTATGCAATTTAGTTTTTATTTTATCTATTTCAGTCAATAGATATTTTATAATGAACTGTAAACTTTTGAAAACAATCTTGTCCCTTTGCAGGAAAAAAAAAATATTCTTTCTCCTGAAAAAGAAAAAAAAAAAAGTGAAAGATCTGTGAAAGCTTATATTAGTAAGCCCAAGGAAACGAGTGTAAATTAGGCAACTTAGAGAAAAATTAGTCATTAAACTCTTCTTACAAACTTGAAGTATGTCAGTTGGCAGGCTAAGAGACAAAACAAGAGCACAATCTCTTGGTAATACATATATTAGTCCCATGTTAATAATTAATATAACTGTAATATGCAGTTTTTCATACAATAATGTTTTTTCGTACTGTATCAACTCTATGAAAACCCTTTACCTCTTCTTGCAAACCTTGGCTGGTTCTTTCCACATGAGTGCAATGCATCCCCGTATCCCATAAGGAAGCCTCTCTGGTTTGAGGATATAACCACCAACAGAAATGTAGTACAACAAGCTTGTCAGACTCAGCTTTTTAAAGGGCTCGTTATCCTTAATAAACTCTTAGAAATCTGTTGATTTCCTTTGCATCAAGATCCTGGGTCAGGGTGTGCTTTTCAGTAGTTATTATTGTGTTGATTTTAGTAATTTTATTCTATACAAGCTATAACTACTATTTTAGATATAAATGAAATATTTTTGCTGTGCTTACCCAAAGGGCACAGGCTAGATTTCTCTTTGCATGCTAATATTGGTTTTGTGGCTTTTCAGTCAATGTATATCCACAGCTTGCCCGACTATCACCCACACAAACCACAAGAACGTGTTTAAGTACTGATGGAAAAGCACAGCCCTCTGCCCACCTGCTGTCAGATCCGGAGCAAGGTGGGTGAGCCACAGTACCCCTGACACCAAGGACAAGGAGAGTCACTTTGGTCTGTGAGAGCAGTTGGCATCTTTGGGAATAACCCCCTTTGGTGAAGGACTTTATCATACTGCTGCCTTGCAGTGACTGGAGAGGCTGTGGTTATTTTTTTTCTGTTATAGAATCATAGAATTGTTTAGGTTGGATAAGAGCTTTCAGATCATTGAGTCCAACCATTAACCTAACACTGCCAAGTCTACCACTGAACCTTGTCTCTAAGCACCTCTTTGAAATACCTCCAGGGATGGTGACACCACCACTTCCCTGGGAAGCATGGAGACCTTAAACCTCATAGTCCCCTCGTGCTAACAGAAAGATGCACACTTATAACGTGCTGCAGCTTTTCTGTGGTCCTGTACTGAGTGCAGCTGTGGCCCCAAGTGCCCATTGTCAGCTGCTCTGCTTATGGAGCAGAGACACCCTTCTGACAGGAGGTGGCAATGGGGGGGTAAACAGACTCTGGTGACCCCATTCCAGTCTTGGGGCATGTGGAGGTAAAATCCAGGGTACTGTGCCTTTGAAACTAGATCTGAGACCCTTAAGTTGCTTTATCAACAAAGCTGAGGCAGCATTATTAAAACCAATCGTACCTTATAAACATGGTCACTTGTGAAATTTGTGTCAATGTTATTAAAGGACTCACTGTGACGGGGAAGCCTGGGGACAGAATAGATCGCTTTGTGCAGCTTGAGCTTAACTATACGAACCCCCCTGCACAAATCCATGTCTCCACGGGTGAGATCGTCATACAGCACAATGGTGAGGGCACTCGGCTGCCGTGGGCGGAGTCAGCCACCTCCACCATCCACGGGTAAGGAGTGTTGCCCTGTCCTTTCCTAAAATTGCAATCTGTTAGGGTTTTTTTTTTCACCCAGGCCTCCATTTTCACTATTGCTTTATGTAAGTGCTTCCAAATGTCCGTATCCAGTGAGTACCTCGGGGCCAGAAGCAGGGTACCTAAACCGTCCCCTGTTTTGAACACAGAGAACAAAAAAGGCTTGATTTTAATTCCCCATGCCTATGTAAGAGAATCAAAACACCTGCACCACCAGCCTGCCTTTCTGCTTCCATGTCAGAGGCAGAACATTTATCTTCCAAAGCCTGTGCCACCACCAAGCCGGCTGCCACCAGGCGCTGGGTGTTCCTCCCGCCACGGAGCGAGTGCCGCCAGGCGACAGCTTTGGCATTCACTGCCTCTTTTAGATATCACTTGGCTCCACAAAGGCTGAAGTTCTCTTTCTCCTCGGTTTTAGCAATAACTCACATCTGGGCAGCTGACATTTTTTATGGGAAGGCAAAAAGCGTTTGAATAGCTGTCTGTAACTAAATGCCCACTGTTGGAGAATGGGTAGTTCAAATGTAGACTTTATTTGTCTGACTAATTAGAGCAGGATCCTTCAATACCACAAGAAATTGCTGAATGTAGGTAGTCCCACCAGCTATTTTCCATTGCCGGAATAAACCTCTGGGAGGATATGCTGTTGGTTTGGGGCAGGCAGGACACGCTGCACTCCTTTCCTTATAGGCAGCTCTAGACAATAACAGAAGTCCTAAAACAACTGCTTTCCATTATTTTTGTAATCCAAATGGAGCCAAGAACATGCTGGATTTATTGCCCTTCCATAATTAGTCATCTGCCAAGCAGAATGATCCTCCTGCTTCAAAGCAGCACCCAAGCCCTTGCAACCGCAGTGCTCTGTCTGCCAGTGTGTGTGGTTTTGTCAAACCCCATCTGCAAGGGAGAAAAATGGCAGTGGAAGTTTTTGTCCTGCAAACCCACTGGGTGTCAAAATAAAATTAATGGGTTAGAAGAGGGTCTAAAAAATCCCTGTGAAATACCTAAGAAAAAAAGTATTTGAGTTGTTAATAAACCAGATTGAATTATTTTATCTAGTTTACATTTTTCTCATTAAAATAACAAAACATGTTCTTTTTTTTTTGCACATCCAAGTATTTCTTGTCATGATGAAAATATATATCCATTATTATGGATAATAAGGCGTTTTCATCAGCAAAACCCTCTTTGCTGTTGGTGTATATTCATGTAACCTGGTGTGGGAAAGATCTGTTATGCAGCACAGAGAGAAAAGATATGCTGCTTCACATTTTCTAGCTTAAAAGTAACCACCAACAGATCATGAAAAATTCAATCGCAAAGAGGAAAAAGGCAAAAATAAAACTATTTTAATTAATTACTGTCAGCTAGTTAAATACATATTCTTTCTTGATATTATTCTCGGAAATAACGTCATTTGCTCCCTAGGCTGAGAGTCTCGGTTGAAAAGGAAGGGAGAGTTACAGTATCATCATCTGATACCGTCACAGTAGAAATTTCCCTCATCAAGTTTCCAGCTGCCTTCCTTAGGGTGTGCTTCTTGAAAACCAACCATTTGTCTGACAAATTCAGTGACCTTATGGGTATGTATTGGGATGGGTGTATGCAGCACTAAGCTCCTGAAATGAGAATATAGTGGTGAGGAGGGCTTCAGCCACATCATAAGCTCTTATTCAGGTTTTACTTCCCTGGGTCCTGACAAGCTCTCATGAAAAGCAGAGGGCAGGTAAGGAATGCTGTAATTTAGGGGGTTGTAGAAAAACTTTAAATTTCATTTATTCTATACATTTTACTGCACAGCAATCCAGACCCTACTCTGAGAAGTGGGGAGGTCTTACCCTGGAAATGGAACATAGTGCAGTTCCATTCACCAGTGGTACAATCCTCAATAGACTATTATGGGTTTAGAAAATGTTAAAATAAGACTAAAATAATAGTTGGGCTTATCCTCAACAGTGCCATGGAATGACATAATTCATGCAGCAAATTCTTTTGAAGTCAAATAATGGACTATAAATAATGGACATAAAATTGTAAACAACCAGGGTTACAAAATTAAAGACAACTGCTCCTGAACATCTCGACTCCAGAAATCCTGACGGGACTCAACTTGGAGGTGTTTCCAAAACTTTGCAAATGGAGAGGCTGCATATTGTAAAACCACAACCAAAAAAAAGAGTGAAAATTCATCAGAGCAAGTCTGAGTCTCTCTGTGGAGGGGTGTTAGAGAGAACAGGAGATCGCTGCTGACACACAGGAATTTTCTTAACTTCCTAAGGGAGCTTCCAAACGTGTTTTTTTTTGTTTTGTTTGGGTTTTTTGAGGCAGAGAGTTGTTTTCCTGTGTTATAGCTGCCAATGGGGTTAAATGAACAATGACCTTAGATGTTTTGTATTTTTAAATAATTTGTGTGTCTGTTGCTTAGGTAAATTTTATTCAGAAGTGCAATTAGACAGGAATTCCAACATCAATCGGAGAGCTTACGAAGGATTTCCAAATGTGCCTGGATTGAGCTCAAAGTTACCACTCAGCAGACACAGGCTAAGGGTGAGTGATGTACATGTTTTGAGATGTATTTTATCAGCTAATACCAGAGATCGAAAGAAATTAAACTAAAGGGGTGTTTGTCTGTAAGATGTTTGCCTACCTCTCTTTGGTGTAACAGGAGCCTGTGCTTGATTTTTTTTCCCTGTCAGCCTGAATTTGTTGCTTGTTACATGATGCTACAGGGCTCAAGACTCCTGTTGCATAGAGGGGGGAAAACGCCATATTCTGGGGCTATGGTTTGCATAAAAAATGCCAAATACAGAAAGGTTCTGCTGTCTCATTTATGAGCATAAGGGAAGGTGTTTCCTCAGCTGGATTTACCATGAGAAAAAAATTTTACACGTCTGTGATGTGGAAGAAACACAGTGAGCGTGCAGGTTCCAGTGCGGTCCCTGCGTGTCCCCACCACCCCTGCCTCTGGCTCTGGGAGCAGAGAGGAGCCAGCTCTGCCCATGCGCGAGCCCTCTGACTCCCTCTGCAAACAGAAGGTCGATTCAGGGCCTCCCCTCTGGTTACTCTATTACAAATTTTTCTTGTTTTGATTTTTTTTCAGGCAATAAAAGAAAGATTACAGGCTTGAGGCAACCACTGATCCTCTTCTGTGCTGGTCAGTAGATGTAACTCCCCAGAAAAGAGTATTCTGGGAAAGAAAACTATGGAAATGATGCTCTTCCAAATATTTTTTGATTCTCTTTCACATCAAGATAACCACACAGTTAAAGTCTTACCTGTTACTTCATAGAAATGTCACAAATGTTTTAGCTCAGAATAATTATACTCTCAGGATGAGAATGTGCTTGCTTGTTGTTTGTTATTATTTTAAAATGGATTCTAATATTCAGCGTGGTTACATTGTTGAAGATTTATGTGAATTAACTAAATAAAATTGCCATTATCATCTCACAAGTTTTGTACAGGCACACAGACTTAGGTGGCCAAATAAAAATAAGTAGCTGCACCACCCAGTCCCACAAATGTGGCACACAAACAGTAATAGATTTCTAAAATTTCTACCCTCTATCCAGTTACAAATGATGGTGCTCTTGAACTGTTTTGTAAAACAGGCATGATGGTCGAAGCAGTATTAGTTTACAATTTATCTTATGTTTTATGGAAGGAAAAAAACAACCCAGTCTTGCTGTATTAGGGTTCTTTTGGAGCTCATTCTGTCCCAAGGTTCAAAGCTGAAGAAACAAGCAATGGGACCGTGAATGGGGATGGCAGCCCATGCTGGCCTCAGTCCCCTTCTTTGTTGCAAAGTTTCTGAGGCTCCGTTTATAAAACATCTGCAAAACAGACATCGACATGCTGCAAAACAGACCTCTGACTTGGTACAAAGACAGCATTTCAACCCCGGCATCTAGCAGCCTTTTTTTGGCACCCTTTCATACAAAGTTTTGCAAGCATTGGAAGATGTTTTACAAACAATGAACAACTCGGAACAACACAAAGGTAATATTTCAGAGGAAGCATATACACAGAAGCTTCAGCCTGTGGAATGCAGGTTGTAGTTTTAGTCTTCAGGTTTTACCACAAATTTAAATTCCAAATTTATTTTTGGTTTAGAATTTCAGTTCCTACCTATCTTTGAAACCATAAGCACACCAGCTTTGTAGAAGGCTGAACAAAACTTTCTTTCCATCTTGCCAATACTAAAATAACTGAAAAAAATTATTATTTTAAAGCAATGTACTAAAAGAGAATCAATTTCTTGCCAAAGTCATCCCGTTTAAGCAAACTATGTAACTAGAAACTTAGTTTTTTTTGAAGAACCATGTAGACATGATGCCAAAATATTTTTGCATGAATTGCTTGTACTTCCAAGATGCAGATTTGGAGATGCAGATTTGTCTGGACAAATTACACAACAGGTAATGCGGAATTTAGAAACTGGAAACACCAGCTTGCTTATTTTGCTGCATCATAAACAGGTTTACCAATTTGAAAAGCAGACTGTTTCCATTATAAATGAACTTTGTATTTAAATTATATGCTGTTGAGGCTCGGTTTCATCAGTGGACTTACTGCAAATTAGAAATTCCCTGCTCTCAGTTATAGGGTGTCTACATGTTGTCTCCTCCACCTGCCCACTACTTGCAGGGATATGGAATGGCACTGAAACTGGGAGCAGTGTGACGGGGCATCTTTCACCCAGTCCCCTCTGATTTATGTGAGGCTCGAGTGTGCACAGATCATTCCTGAGAGTCACTCTTCTAACCCACCCAATAAATCCTGCCAGGTTCCCCAGGCAGCCTGCTGCCCTGCTAGTGCCACCCTGCTGCCCTCAGCAGATGGGAAGAAACCGAGCTGTCCGCCTGCCTCACAGCAACTTTTTCCGTAACTGTTTTTTTTCCCAGGGGTTCTTTCTCCACTTCTCTGCAAAGCCCTTCCTATGCTGTGGGCTGCAGCCCATTTTCCTACACCTTGTTGGGGTGCGGGGCATAGGGCACTGCACCCACCCCGGCTGGTGGAGCTCCCCAAGGCTAGGAGAGGTGCTGGCCAGCTGGCCCTCCTGCCAGCCCCCCTCACTGCTCTGCCTGCCTACTGCGACTCCTATGCTGCAGGAATCAGAGGAGAGCCACGTACTGAGAAGGGGATTCTTCCATCCCTGCCAGTGTAAGGAGGGGTTTCTCTGGCTGCCACAGAAGCCGTGCAAAAGCAGAGCAGAGCCCCGAGGTCAGGTCCTGGCTGACAATTCAGTCCCAGCCCCCCGGACTCCTGCCATCTCCGGAGATCTGCTGCATCCCCGTCGGTTAAAGAGGAAAGCGCTGGCTGAGGCTGTGCCCAGCGTCGCCTCGTGCCTGACCTCTGCCAGCCAGGCAGGCCAAGAGCTGCTCTCTGCTGCTAGGGCCACTTGTCTGAATGGAGCTAGTGAACACAGGACCAGCCCTGATGGGCAGTCCCACAGCTCTTGTCTCAGGATCAAAAAGGATCTTTGCTTTATTTTACTTTATTCCATTTAGTTCATTATCTTAGAATAAAAATTCAGAACCACGTAAACCTTACTAGTTTCAATTTTCTGGTCTTCTCTCACTCCTTCCTGTTTCTCTCCTTGCCTTCCTCAATTTTTAATAACTTATTACCTTCTGTAGAAACAACTGTTTCCATCATTTTTGTCTGAATTTATCAGGCATAGATATCTAGCTGCTGTGACAACCCCCACTACCCACAAGAACTGATTTTGTTTTTTTTCATACACAAAACTTCTGCTTTTAGCAAAGGATTTTGTTCCTGGAGGAGGCCTGCCTTTCCCATAAATTAACCAGTAAGCATATTCTCCTCTATCTTTTTCCTTTTTGATATTTCTGTTGCATTTTTATTCACCCCTACCTTCATTCTTTCTGTTTAACCCATCACATGCCATCTCTGGTTTTCCCACTGTACTCCTCTTTTCTTGTGTGTGGGAAACATTCTAGTTTCTCATTTTCTCTCCTTGTCATGTAATAGTAGGGAAATCTTCTACTTCGCCATGTGACACCACAATTGCCCTGCTATGGCTGATTCGAGTTAAAGAAAACTTGAAGTAATAAGAAATCTGCTTAGTTTTTGCTTTAGAACTAATAGCTTACCATTTCTTCCAGTGTAAAATGAATACATAAATAAATGGGACATTTCTTGCCCTGAAATACATACATAAATTCCATTACAAGAACAGAGGGAGGAATTTTACTGGAAGATAGTAAGGCTCTTACACCAAAAAAAAAAAAAAAAGATACTGTCCAAAGGACACCTATTATTACTTTAATCTGTGTGCTATTTAGAATGGTGGTATTTCAATAATTTATAAAGATCTGTGCATTCAGAAGTGCAGCTCAAATTAAACTACTAAACTATGGAAGTCCTGGATGCTGACAGCCATCTCACGTGCTGTAAGGAGAATGCAGTTAATGAC